TATATTAGTTGGGTTGGGTCAATCAATAAATTAGGGATTAATGGGTTGGTGTAGAGTGTAATTGGACTTGGGATAGTGAGTTGTGGATTGGGTTGCTCTTGGGTAAGTGGTAAGTGTTAGGTAAAAAAAACTCAAAAAAAAATAAAATAAAATTGTGGGGTCATTTGACCCCATATGACCCCATGTGGGTCCGCCCCTGTTCATCGTCAATGATTGGCACACAGCTCTGCTTCCATGCTACTTAAAGACCATGTACCAATCTAGAGGAATATACATGAATACCAAGGGGGAGAAATTGACACAGTTGCAAACGGAAGGAGCGTTTTGCTATGATGCTATATTGAGAAATTAAAAGGTAGATTCAATATGAAAACATATTGAAAGAACTTGAGAAGAAGAACACTTTATTAATCATCAAGGTCAAGTAATATTGTGAATACATTGCTCTATTTATAAAATAAATTTATAACAAACTAATTACATAACAAATAAGAGAAAAATCTAGAAGAAGCATGTGTTGGATGATGAAAGAAGGATCTCAAATTGGAATATTCCAACACTTTGTGCCTGGCTCTGGGTCATCATGGCTGCCATTTGGGACTCCAAGGACTTAAATTAAGTTATGACTCTTCAATTTCTTAGCACACCAAGGTGGGCCCAACCATTTCTACAACCTGTTTACCTTCGAAAAGAGAGGTTGAGGCTCTTCCCTATTTGACCTCCGTGTGATATTAAGTAGATGTATATGAACATTGGTTAGTAAATGTTTTGTCAGAGTTCTTGAAAATTAAGCTATGTGTACATTGTTGTCACATTTTTCTTAACATTTCTTCCTATGTGTCATAATCAGGGTAGTGATACGACAGGATATTGTAAAAATCAACTACTTTGATGGATACCAGGTGGAAGAGTGTCAAATTTAATTTAAAGAATAATGTACATATAGCATGATTGGACTTATTTTGGAGTGTGTTATAGGCATTGATTTTAGTCCGAGCTGTACTTGGTGGTTTTCCTCCACATGCTAGGCAGTCTTGAGGGCATTAAAATACGTATTTCATCAGTCTGGGCATATTGGTGAGCGGGGAGCTGGGGGGGCGATGATTGTTGTGACTGAGAATAGAGTTTAGGTGTGAGAATAGAGTCTTCGTGGGAACACGTGTCTTCAATTCCGCTATGAATTGGTTTTGAGAAGAAAAATAAAACAGAAGGGTATATATTAGTGCTTCAAAGAAATAAAAAAAATAAATTTATGAATATATGAATTTTTTGGTAAGTAAAGAGAAATTAGACATTCTAATAAGGTGATCGACATGGGAAAAAGAGACTTATCCCTGTATGGTGAGAATTAAAATCATATTTTTAGTATATTTTAATAAAAGTTGATGAAATGTGTGGTTGAAAAATTATATATCCCATAAAATGTATAATTAAAATAGTTGTTGACTTTGATTGAAATTAAAATCTATCAAACAGGGGCTATGGTGGTGGTGACTATTCAAATATTTATTCTTGTTCGAGTCTTGTTTGATCTAGAGTCCGCCTGGCAAAAATTTTTGGCAACATTTTCATTCATTTTCTGGCCGTTGGGCCGCACTTCTTGACTGCATATCTCTCAGCCGGGCCCCACTAACGGTGCATTTTCTGCTGAAAATCCAAGAAAAATGGGGAGCAGACAGACTCCTAATACCATGTAGAAGTTGATAGTAAATAGTGTTTGGAAAATATCAAATGCAGAGTATTGATTCATTAAATTCCATATTTATACTGGTTACAAGTGTGAACTACATTACTAACAAAGTACTGTACTAATATTTAGCCATGTTTGATGACCATTATTTTAAAAAAAATTAAATAGTGATCTTTTGGAGAATGTGTGATTACAAAGTTGGAAAAAATTTTGAATTTACGTGTAAAATATTTTATTGTGTAAATCTATTATTGAAAATAAGTATGAGAATTAAAGAGTTTGGAAATAATAATTATTTAATAAGAGCTTAGTATTATTTATAAGTGATATATCAAGATTTAATATGTTATAAATTATGGGGACAACTAATATGACATAAAGCTAGGGACGGATACAGTGGGGGGCTGGAGTGGGCTGGGCTTTAGCCCCCCCAAAGGCCCAAAAAAGAAAAATTGTAAGGTTTTTTCTTTTTCTTAAAACAGTTTTTCATGTGTAAACAATTTTTTTTTTTTTTCGCGTATTAGCTCGATTTGAAATTTTGTAGCCCGATCTTGGATCCAATCCTGGATCCATCCCTCACTACAAAAAAAAAAGGGTTCCAGCGACCAACAAATTTGGTCGCTAAAGGTCATTTTTTGGTCGCTAAAGATCTCTAGCGACCAAATAATCGTGGTCGCTGGTTGGTCGCTAAATCACCGTCGATGAA